TTAGGACTGATGACCTTATGATGATGATGATGAAGAATGTTTTTAAATTTGGTAATTGAAAATAGAAAAATCAATAATCATTTGTAACACACAGAAAATGGGAAGGTAAAACTTTGTGGTACCTATCCCAGTTGTTTGCACTATATGTGTAGTAAGATTTTGTTTACGGAAGTTAATAAGAATGTGCGTGTCGCAATGATGTCACCTAATTCATAATTTCACGAAATCTCTAATGTTGTTCATAATAACATTTAAATAAATATAAACCAACTTAACCTGAAATTAACAAACCAACTTAGCGTTACTGATGTATTTGGAAATCAAATTAAAAGAAGATTTGACTGTCCATACGATGGTCAGCGTCATTTTGAGGAGATAGAGAAGAAAGAGGGGTATGGAAACTAGGGCTGTCATCAGACTATCTTATTAATAAATATCACAGACAGATTACTTTCGTTTTTTGAACAATAACATACCAATGAAAAAATCAATTAACTAAAAATAAATGGTATGAATAGCAAATAAGTAAAATATATTAATCCAAACAATCAGAATCCGATTGTTAGTCCAATAATTAGGGGCGGCTCCTAATTAGTACAAGGTGGTAAGACACACCTGAATAAATTATATACGACAATTTTTATTACGCGGCTGTAATATAACAAGAACTAATTTGGGGTCGTAGAGCATTCTTGTCAGGGAAGGGATCGGTATGGTGGTGAGAATAGTCGAAAAGGGGTAGTTGAAGGATAAGGATATTAATATAAACATATTAACAAAGGAAACTCTAATACTTTAGGAATAAACTCGGCATAAAGTGTACGGTATATTCTGAAAATTCAAAAAAAAAAACAAAGATGTGAATTCTAGAAGGAAGAAGCAAATTCTTGAGTTCTAAAAATTAAAGATATCAACGTAAACTGTGTTAAACTATTAACAAAATAAACTTCAATGCTCAAAAATAAAGAACCGTTTGTTCAATGAATCGATGACATCAATATCATTATTTCGGCACAAGGCTTCTTGGATTTAAATTGAGGCATGTCTAAACTCAAAACCTTAAAATTTTTGGATGTTTTATTCCCATCAGTTACTAGTGCTGGTGGACGGGTAATATCTCTGGTCTACGCTGGAAGATCCTCATTACATCTCTTAAGTAATCGTGGGAATGGGTGGATGGTGATTGGGGTGAAAAACACGAGACGGACGAAATGAAGACTGAAGAGAGTGAAAATTTATGGGCACCCTACGATTTGCCTAAATTATCGGGGGAAACCATGGAAAAAATTAGACGAGGGCAGACGGACTCGGAATCAAACCAGTGTCCCCCTAAATGCTAAAGCCTTTAGGCTCTAAACCATGTCACTCGATTAGGCGTGCCTCTATACCTTACGTGAAAATCCACTCTTTTATCCCTGTGTTGATACAATTATTTATAGATAATACACTAGACAAGGATGCGCGAGAGGCCAGCTTTAAGTTATAAAGAAAAAGTGAGATGGTTGAGTGATACACAATGTTCCTTGGATACGGAAAACGTGCATGCTTTAAAAGAGAAGGCCAGGGTCAGATTTTATTGTAGTATGATGACTCGAAATAATGCTGTAAATGTTTATGGATGCAAATACTGAAAAAAAATTTGCTACACCTTTGTCCTTAACCTATATTACAGTGTGCAACGTTCGCACGCGATCTCCAATTCTAAATGCATTCTGGTGGTTGCTTGAAGGATGCCTATTGTTTTTGAGACAATAACTGTTATTTTTGAGTATACAAATGCAGATTAATTTAGTCTCTAACTGAGGATAATTTTAAAATGACGAAACGTGTTTTAGGTTCGTAAAAGTTTTTAGGAGAATTTTAAGTTTTAGTGCTTTACTTAGTTTTCAGTTTTAATCTACAGAATTCCATTTTATTCTGTTCTATACAACTGGCGAATGAAAGAACTGTTATTGTGGTACGACGATTAATTTTTGGGGAACCCCATTAAATAAGTCTACTTGACCTGTCATAGCTAAGCAGTAGAGTACTGGTACCAGGGGGTGCGGCTTCTATTCCAAGCGAGTGTTGTGACAGTACCAACAATTTTTCAAACTTAATTTGAGGCAATATGAGGTCTGTTCAAAAAGTATCGTGAATTTTGAATTTCCGCGGGTTACGTATATTCGAGTTTCGATTTTTTTTGTGGAGTCATGTTGGTACTCATGTCTCTCACTTATACCGACAAGTTCGGCCATGTTGATTATTCAGTTAATTTGTGACTGCTGCATTGCTTGCACGTATTTTGCTTTCGGCTCGGCTTCGATTTTTGTCTATTCCAAAAAACGTACCAAATAATCTGTATCAAATCTTGTATGAAAAAGAAAATTTAGTGCGCGGACGCATTCCAATTGTTAACTGTGACACATGATCAAACTACTTTGGACCTAAGCAACGTTTATCGATGGTACAAAATGTTCTCAGGAGGGCCGAGAAGATGTGAACGGCTATGAGCGTGTCAGATGCCCGAGCACGACAACAACAAAGAAAACATTGATGAAGTGAAGAAAATAGTATTGGCCAATCGTCGAAGCACCGTTAGAGAAGTTGCTGAGGACATAAACTTATCGATTGGCTCCTACCATTCGATTTTTACCAATGATTTCGGCATGAGACTGGTTGTCGCGAAATTCTTACCAAAATTGCTCAATTTCGACCAAAAACAGTATCGCACTAACATTGCTAAGGAGCTGTCAACCCAAATTTCCTCCAGAGGGTCATAACTGGTGACGAATCATGGGTTTATGGTTAAGACGTGAAAACCAAAGCTCAATTATCGCAATGGAAGGTGCCGCACGAGCCAAGATCGTAAAAAGCACATCAAATTATAGTAGGTCGAATGTGAAGATTTTGCTTACAGTTTTCTTCAATTGCAGGGGCGTGCAGAAACGCGGATTTGTGGATGAATAAAAATTTACTTTTGCACCATGATAATACCCCTGCCCACACATTGTTGCCTGTATGCGCATTTTTGGTCAAAAACAACACAATAATAATGGTACAGCCACCGCATTCCCCAAATCTGGCCCCCTGTGACTTTTCTTGTTCCCAAAATTGAAGAGGTCCATGTGAGGACGACGCTACGCTACGATTAAGAAGATATAAAGACGGCATCGAAGGAAGAGCTGAACAAGATCACAAAAATGATTTTTTGAAGTGCTTCGAAGATTGGGAAAAACGTTGACAGAAGTGTAAAATATCGGGTGGGGATTACTTGAAAGGGTACAAAATAGATATTCTTGAATAAGTAAATAATTTTTGCAAAAACACAAAATTCGCCATACTTTTTGAACAGATCTCGTATGTAGAGAATAGAAGGTTAGTTTCAAGTTAATGTTTATTATCACTATAATCTCTCTAGACGTCTTGTTTCCTAAATAAATTAGTTAAAAATCGTCAATACGTTGCAACGCCCGTGGTATGCAAACCCAGCAGACAGAAACAAAATTCAACCTATACTTATATAAGTACGACAGGTATAATTGTCAATTTTTTTTATTGATCAGCCTTATCGAACGTAAAACGATTAACCAATCATTGAATACCTTTCCGCTACAATCCAAAATTAATATAGTCCATTTCAATTTGTTAGAATTGTAACCTTGAATGAATCTGCACGAAAATCGGAGAATACACACTAGGCGTGAGCAAGACAGAAATAGTTGGAACAAGCTCGAACGAGGAGAGCTCTCGATGGCCGGTCTTAGGAGATCGGCTAGAACTGTACAGTAGTAGACGAAAATGTTTAGCAATTTCTTAAAACAAAAATGTATATGAATTAACAATAGATAACAAAGCAAAAGTTTTATAGGTGTATAGAACGTTAAGTTAATTCACTTGTTATTATTTTTGGCTAAATATTCTATTAAATGAAGCATATACTTAAATTTTAACGAGGCAGTTTAAATAATTTTGCAAATGGTACTGTACAATTTGGCCTAGTTCTCGCTCTCGATGATCGGTGGAGAAATGAGCTCCGCAGACAAATATGATTGAATTTTGAATTATGCTACGGCGCATCCTAATAGAGGGAAGGGGCATATCTCTAACTTCCTGAAACGAATACTACTTGAATGATTCGCTACTCAATCTTTGAGGAACTAGAAAACCCTCTCTTTCATCTTGCTTAGTCCATTAACTATTTACTGCTTAGGTAAGGTAAGGTTAGGCTGTCTGCAGCTTTCGTATATAAATATTGGAAATTAATATTTAAGAACCGACAAAAGAAAAGGTTAAAAAACTGACCAGTAAAATACAAGCCAATATAAATATTATTTTGGATGTAAAAGTAGAAATGTAGGAACCCAGGGAACCATTGCATTGTTAATTTTATTTGATTATTTCTTTAAATTTAAGGTAATTTAGAGATCTTTGTTTATTGATTGTTTAGCACCGACTCAGCACTACTTAGGTATACATACATTAGTTGAAGAACTTACTTATTAAGGTTAATAAAATAAACGTTTATTTTGTGTTTTTCAGCTTTTTCGGCGGTTTAATTTTTTTTGTTAAAAAGTTTTTATTTTATAATTTTTTGTGGCTATTATCTACTAATTACTACCACTATTAATACTACTACTACTACTATTATTTCCCTACTATAAACCATCCCCTGTTTTCCTACCCTTAGGGTTGGAATTTTTTTCCAAATTTATATGAGACCAACTTCGGGGTATACCCTTTCAAATAAAAAAAAATTATCAAGATCGGACTATTTTGTCAAAAGTTATGCGTGGTCGTACATTACAATCAGTGAGTGAACAACAATCAACAATCATCCCCTGTTTTCCTACCCTTAGGGCTGGAATTTTTTTTCCAAATTTATGTGGGATCAAACTTGGGGTATACCCTTTCCGATAAAAAAAAATATCATTATCGGACTACTCTGTAAAAAGTTATGCGTCATCATATATAAAAAAAACCTCCTCCTTTTTTCGTCGGTTAAAAAGAACTTGTCATACCTTGCGTGAAAATCGTTAAGATGAATGACAGATATATTAAAGCCTTCGTCGATTTTGTTAGTTAGCGAAGAGGGAACCTTTACCACATGACTAAGAACTGGTACCACCAATACTAATTGTAATATAAAGTTTATAATTGACATGTTGGTCGTTATTTAAATCGCGAAAAATGAACTTGTCACATAACCTACTCTGGTGCGTACTATGTATCACTGGAAGTGCACCTAACTGATAATGAAAAGTAGAAAATATAGTTTATCTATATGCAGATAAGAAACTAACAATATCCAGAAGGAATTTGTCGCACACAATAAATTGTTTATCTATACTGACGTCTTATCATAATTTAAAAAGGTATTGTTTGTTAAAGGTAGCACGATGAAATATTTTTATAGCACCATTAAGTACTTTTCTATATTTTCTTTACCTTACAATGGAATTTTCATGTTTGCATAAAAATTATCGATTTGATTATATACAGGTTGTTCCACCTAAGGCGGTTTAATCCATAACTCTGTTATTATACATTTAATAAAAAACATGTCTATATAGAAGTGGTCCGAAATCATATGATGCATATACAGAAAATATTTACAGTTATACAGGGTGTTCCATTTCTTCTGGACGCAACCTAAATACGTTATTTTAAATGGAACACTTTATATATTTTTAAATTTTGGTTTCTTTGATTAACTTTAGATTATTATTAATAGTTCCCTATACCCATCTCTACTAGTTTTTGAGATGGTATTCAAATGTTTTTTAAAAAAATGAACACGATTTCAGCTCTTTGAATGAGACCATATAGCATCTAAACCATAAAAGCTAAAAACTTGCAGTTTGTTTTAGCATGAATTATCGTAACTTTTTTGCTATGAGCTAAAATGCTTACGTTATGCAGAACTTCAAAGCTCAAACTTACTTTTGACAGATTTTTTTTTCAAATGAAATGACCCATATTAAAAGATGCCATTCGATACGAAATTAAAAGCCCTTTCTATTGACATAAGGTTTTAATTATAGAATAATCTGTTTTCTGGAAAATTATTAGAGGTAAATATTTTTAGCTTTTATGGTTTAGATGCTGTTTGGTCTCATTCAGAAAGCTGAAATCCTGTTTTTTAAAAATGAAACAGCTGAATATCTCAAAATCTAGTAGAGATGGGTGGCATCATCATCATCATAAGGTTGTCAGTCCTAGGACTGGTTGGACACGCACTTTCACTCTTTCCTATCTATTTCCCTAAAACGAGAATTCTCTGACTAGATCTTCATGCTACCAACTTATCGCGCTATTTCATATTGACTTCCATAGAGTCTTCTGCTTTCCTATTCTTTCTAATATTTCTAACCTTCTCTATCGGTATCCTCATCATTCACCTGGAACACCACATTTCCAATGCATCTAACCTTTTATTTTCCGCCGTGCCCACCGTCCATGTTTCGCACCCGTACAGCTGCGCTCCAAATGAAAATTCTGCCTTTGCAAAGGTATGTACACCTTTAACAATCTTTTTCGAAATTCTAAATTATCCGTCCCCGAGCATAGAAGTGATTTCGTTTTATTGAAGGCGACTCGAGAGATGGGTATAGGTAACCCTTAATAAAGTTGACCTAAAATTAATCAAAGAAACCAAAAATGTACAGATGTGTAAGGTTTTCCATTTAAAATAACGAAGTTAGGTAGCGTTCAGAAGATATGGAACACCCTGTATGATTAAAAATATTTTCTGTATATGCACCATATGATTCCGGACCACTTATAAGAACATGGTTTTTATTAAATGTATAATAACGGAGTTATGGACGATGCCGCCTTAGGTGGAACACCCTATATATAAATATTTATTTCAAGCAGGTCATTTAGATAAATATATAGGTACGGTTATTCACTTATTAACCCATTCATTAAAAGTTTTTAAACTAAAAGTACCACTAGAGACTTGGAAATGCAGCAAATAACCTAAAAGATAACTCTCTTCCTAATTAAGATATCATCAGATTGCAATGGTGGGTCACTTCCGGTTATACCGGAAGTCGACATCAACCAAATTATCTTAAATGGAATGCTATATTTTTTATGAAATTTTTAGATTCAGCGAACCTTTTTAAATCGACTTTAATTATACAACTCTATCTTAAAAATTAGTAGTTTTCGAGATATTTCGAATTTTCTGAAAATTGGCAAATAGCGGATTATTCAGTTAATTTCTAAAGTACCATCGCGATATTACTGGATGACTAGCTATCTCGTACCTATGCATTGTATTTTTAATATTCATGTGTATATATAGCTTTCTATTCACCTGAATTTTGTTTTGTTCATCAGAAGCAGATTCTAATAGCTTTGGTTGGAAAGACGACTAATCTTCTTTACAATTATCTGATAATCTTCATGAATGTAAAATAAAATTAAAATATCGTTATTGATGTAATAGAACACCTGACAATATTTAAAAACGTAATAATGCGGGCTTTTTTCAAAAATTTTTTATAACTCAAAAATACGAAGGCGTAGAAGGACCAAACATATTTTTTTTCTAATTTCGACTTGTAACTCGAAATTTTGACTTGTAACTCGAAATTTCGACTTGTCACTCGATTCGTCACTCGAAATTTCGACTTGTAACTAGAAAGTTCGACTTGTCACTCGAAAGTTCGACTTGCAACTCGAAATTTCGGCTTGCAACTCGATCTTCGGTTCTAGACGATCAAAAAAATTTCTCCGTACACCATTGTACGCAAAAATTATATTTGTGCAAAGTTTAAAAATTTTCTAAGAAAATCATTGATACAAGACAACTACTTTAACGGCAATATGATTCGAAAAGGATTACATAAAATTCAGTCGAGTCGTTCTTTTGTTTAAACAAAAAGACTGAAAATCAGTAAATTCTGGAAATTTTTGAAAAATATTGATCTGGTCTAATTAGTTCTGATATAACTCGATACTTTGAAATAAATAAGATATTTAGGTTAGATTAGGTTAGGTACTATATGAAAATAGATATTTTTGTCCAATAACAGATATTGTATATCTGTACTAGCAATTGGTAATTGCCTCCTGTACTGGGAGTTTTTCGTGTGGACTTTAAAGGTCGCACCAGTGATATCATAACTATTAGAAAATATATCAAGATGCCCTTAACGACTGAATGCGATCCTGGAAAATTTCGGTATGCGTAGACTGACCAATAAAGACTGTTGTCCACGTACCTACTACTCTGTGATGGTGCGAGCGTGTTTGTTTAAGTTTGACGATCAATTCTAAATGTGGACGGAGTATAGGCAGGTAAGACAGAACATTTGACCTTGCTAATAGTGATAAGTTGTTTTTCTTTACAATCATCTTTTGAGAAGTGGAACAACAGAAAGTCAATGACCCAGTGACCAAATATGGAATGTAGCAGGTACCGTTGGAGACTTTCTTGGAGATTCGTTTGACTCGGCGAGTTGGGACAGAAGCGACAAGATTTACAAGACCGTTATCTAACTATTACTGAATAATTTTTTCGTAAATGTTAATTTCATTGTATAATTAGTACCTACTTCCATTTATATTAAGAGTCCACAAGCGGAACGTGTTCCACTAAGAATAATATCGGACAAGAGCGATTTTGACCTACGTATCAAAACTTCCTCATTTTTCCTTAAAAATCGCATTTCTTTAATTCACTTCATTAAATTGAATGTATTTTTGAATTAGTTTTACCCACTACAGATAACCTCTAATTAATGAGGAAAAATTGTTATCGCTGTCGCTCCCTTGCTGGGAATCGAACCCGAGCCCCCTGGTTTTACATACTAGTAATATACCACTATGATACAAGGGGCTAACAGCACCAACAGCGACGCCACGTATCTAAGAGTATAGGCCGCAGAATCATCGAGCTAATGTATAATCATTGTAATTAATGAGATAATTTGAAAGAAATTCAATGTGTAGCGACCAACATAAATTAGAGCACCCTGTACATATAATATCGTTGTATAAATATGTAAAACTTTTGTATGATATTCCTTTTCTGTGTAAATATTTCTCAACATTATCTTCTAAAGCTTTTGTATTCTATCCATCTGTTCCAATAACTTTTATTACTGTACTTTCCTATAATCCCTATTAACATTTCAACTTCGCGTACTAACCGCATGACGTCTGTACTTTGCTATCCGTCCTAATTGCTATTTTATGAGGGGTTTCTTCGGTGATTTGGGTTCAACAACTTAATTCTATATTTTCTATCTTCAGCAGTTTTCAAATCATATTTTCTTACTATTGGTTCCCTTCTTTTATCTACAACCCTTAGCTCCACCTTCATAACTTTCCTAAATTATTCAAATTCTATATTCTTCAGTTCTAAATCAACCTTCATTTACTTTACTCTTCTTCAGCTCTAACAGTGTCAAATAAATATTTGTTTT